GCCTCTATTGGCTGTTGTATGTATCGAGGTTAATTTACAGATATCCGGTACGTGTCAGTTCCGTATCCGTACCGTATCAGTAACATCCGTGACGTTTAATCAGTTTGATCTCAGTGTTTCCCGATATGGCGAAATTTACGAATGATGAACTAGCAATGACAAAGACGTTTGGGCGACGAACACTAGAAGAAGTGTGATGAATTCAGCGAGAATATCGAGGAAAGGAATCAATCAATATGGCACCATGTTGTGGAAAAGAAGGAGCCATAGAAGCTGAGCAGCGTTGGTGAGTCAATATATGATTATTGTATATTTATTTGAATCTGTTCGAGTTTCGTGATTTGTTTTTATGTATAGGTTACATAGAACCTATCGCATCGATATTATACGCTGTATATACATGTGAAAAAATTGGTCTATCTCGCGCTGCTCTTAGGAGTCATGGTTTCGATACCGGACGTGAACACACAAAATAATTTGAAACGTTGTTTTCTTATTGTGGGGAAATTCAACGTAGGACGTCGGTCGTTCGGAGTAAACAGATTCTGTTTACATTTGTGTATTCTCACTGTCCTTGTAGACGTGCGGAAAAAAGAACCTGTGAACGTATTCTTGAAATTGTACGTGTGAAAATCCTTATTTGGCCAGGAATGATTTATTTCTTCATGATCCAATACGGAGAATTGCAAATAGAGTCATCACGTTTATGTACAATACGCAATCAAGGGAAATTATTCAAATTAATTTTCTATATTCTTTATGTTAATAAATGAATACAATTACAATATTACAGGGATTGTTTATATTGCATTCTCAATATTAATGTAGTATATCTATCAGTGCTAAGAGCAGAGAAATTAATAAGGAAAATAGAATATTTCTTTAGAATCTGAGAATAAAGTTCAATCGTATTATTCATTTCTTCAAACTGTTTACACCTTCTTCGCATTTATCCCTTCACCTGCGATCCGAGAGGCACATCTTCAGCCGCTCACTTAAAGCCACTTATGCAGGTATCATAATCAATATTGAGCTTAAATGGATATTCCGTTAAAGAGGACGTGCGCCTTTGCGAGTCGCTTCGCCGACGGATTAAAGCGAGGGGTGAAGAACTCTTTAAATATTTGACGACAGAAAATTCTTTCGATTAACATCGGTGTTTCCAAACTCTGCTAACTCCTGTAATCGCCACCTCTGGCAATTCTGTAGCACAGCGGTGTGCAAATTTCAACTCGTCTCCTCCACCAAGCTCGCTAAATAAGCTTGCAAAATAAAAAGAAAAATTATACAGTGGGTGTAGAAAGTATATTCGTACACCGATCAATTTCCCAAAAAAAAACTTTTGTGTGAAATTGTAGTTTCTTAACTTCTTTTTTTATAATCAATGATATTTTACATATTCGCGTACGTAATCGCGACTAGAGAGACTAGACTAGCTCAGCGTCAACAGTTTCAAGTAGTGGTGGGGATAACCCCGCGTCTCTTAGACAGGATTTACCGTGCCAATCGCATTGTCCCTAATGTTTTCTCTTGGAAGGATAATCGTCGAACGAATAAGGGACGGCATCTCGTTTCTCGTTAGTTCATGGTTTTATTTCACCCTTTCGTTTTTTCATGGTTTTCACGATTCGATAATTCCGTGGGATCGATTCGACAGAAGGTTTCTCGTTATTGCGATACGCTGGTGCAATGATGTCGCTTCTTTGGCCGGTTCGATAACACGCAAGAAACGTCGAGGCGATGTTTGCGTGAACTCCCACGACTCGTGGTCGCGCAAATTCTCTGGAATTTATCGAACTTTACTCGCCCGCAATAATTACGCGGCACGATGAAAGTTGAGGGGGAAAAACAGAAATGCTGGGAAAATTAAATTCCTGTTGGCGATTCCCTCTTCAATCAGCTCCGGGCTTCGACTATTCGACATTTTTCGGCCAATTCTTGGTTTCTCGTTATTCCGTCCTCGAGGACTTCTTTGCTACTCGTCGTGTAATTTAATTAACACCCAAGTGGTCATTCCGTTTTGTCGCCCCCTTGGCACACCAGTTAACCGACGCGATGGAAAGAATTAGAGGTGTAATATAGCGATGAAGTGTGTACTTTACACTTCACAATATTTTTTCTGTGTTTGTGAATAATGCTATGCTATTGAACGAGATACATCCAGTTTTCAATATCAATTAAATACGTTTATAACGATATTTAAACGTGTCTTGGTTGTGTTTTCAAAATCAGTTTTCAAGTAACGAGAAGATTAAGTAGTTTCAGCCATTCACAATTTTTTAATTGGTTACTGAATTTATTACATAATAAAGAAGATGCTTGACAATTCAAATGGAAAGAGGGAATAAAGAAAATATTCATTGTCTGCTGGTACTGAATTTTTATTAATTACTGGAAGGAACTTTTTCCCTCTCCAGAGAATAGTGTGAGCTTAAAAAGACTAAGACCCTTCTTTTAAAGAATGCTACCTGCTAAAGGAGGTTAAGAGCCACTGTATTAATCATTTTAGTGATTCATTTGTCCCCCGTTGCGCTTGTATCTCTCCACGGAATTTAGTCTCCGATAAAATGTCTGGCCAAGTGCGTCAGTGAGACTTTTATCAACCCGCAGCTAGAATCGTTAGTCGGATTGAATGAACGAATTAAGTTTTCATTGGGTCGATGCGTTGCACAAGTCACGGTTTCTTCGTATTCCTCTCTATTCAGCTCGACAGATCCCTCTGTCTTTCGTTTTCCGTCGCATAGTTTAGGGAATGATGGATTATCGCACGATTATCATTACACACTTTTTATTATTGTTGTTTGTTATCCAATGAATTCGTATTTGCAAATTAATTTTAATTCAAATCTAATAAAATAAGTTTAAAAGAGGTCTCAAATAATCCCAGAAGAAGTCGCATTTTTTATATATATATATATATATATATATATTAAAAATACGTTTATTGGCGTTATAGAAGGTGTTGAAATCGAACTACATATCGCGATTCAGGGCGTCCTAAATTTTTGTAACCGCAGTGAAACTTCATTAATTAGGGTCGATCCAGGGCCGAGGCCATTTGAATTAAAGAGGAGTTTAAAAACAAATTAGCGAACTTCCCCTATGTAGTTATATTTCGCCCTAACTGTGAAAATTTTACGCGTGTATTGGCCTCGATATTAAACCGTACGTGAAAATCTGTTGGAATAAAATCAGAGAAGAATGCAAAGTTAGAAACAGTGACTAGAATCTATGAAAAAAAAAAAAAAAACACAATAACAGTCTTAACAATCAATGACACTATATTTGTAGTATTTATTGTCTATCTTAAAGATTTTATTAACGTACCTTTTAATAGTATGCTAAGGTTAATGCTAGCCTGCATTAATAAATATTACTGTAAACAATGTTTTTCTAAGTTGCAAGCTCTTTTTAAATAGGACGGTAGTTGATGAGTTTTTTTATTTCGTTTATCGATTCGGAAATTGTTTAAATAGTTACGCGTACCAGATGGAGGGATACTTTTGCGAGTAGCTGTATATCCGGTTGAGCCGAAATTGAAAACTCATTCAGCGCGACAATCGTTTTCCCATATTTCCTACGTTTCTCGATATCTTCTGTAATCCTCAATTCTGTAACGTCGTTGTTTCTTTTCCGTTGTTCCTTGGCCTCCTCCCGTGGCTCTCGTTCGAAACGTACGAGACAAACGTACGTACGTACCGTGTCAGGAACGACGATCAAACTAAAGCCTTCGAAGCAACTTACGACTTTACTTATCGTAAAACCCGGGCAAAAAGTATGATGCGCGCTCGTCTGTCGCGGGAACCGAGTACCGCAATTTTTGTATCGACCTGCAGTTTACGTGTTCTCTCCACTTCGTGTGAGATACGCGAGTGGCCGGCGAGACAAACAAAATTAAATACATATTTTTTTCCATTTAGCGGAAACACCGGGTCAGGGAAACAAATACAGAAACGTGTCGGCTGAATTTTAGAGGAAAACGTTGAAGGTGTTAGTTGAGTTTAACTTTTTAAAACGTATATTTAATTTTCATTGGATATTTTTTTGTTTCTATAATTTGATTTCAAATAGTGAGAAATATTAGGAAATAATTATATCTGTCTCTTTTTCTAGTTACGAAACTTTGTGAAAATAATTATCGATAAATATAACGACTCGAACAGCACAGATTTTTTTCAGTAATTGTTTGTTCGTAGTCTGATAGGTATGAAAGACGAAAAAAGAACGCGACTTTTAATTAAACGATATTCCCGATATTTCTCGCCGTTTTGGAAATACTACGGCGAGAAGAAAATTCTGAATTTTCTCCAAACAGCAATTTGATCTCTCCCCTCTCGTTGCAGTGCGAATGATTGGTTTGCGGTTTCCACCGTTTCAAAATATTCAGAATTTTTTCCGAATAAGTTACAAATAAAAAGTTTTGAAAGAATTCATATACATTTAACGTATCTATACTCAACTTGCTCTGCATTTTTAGATAATTTCAACTTTCAATTACAAGTAAATTAAACTGCATTCAAAAAACTGTACGCTATAAACTAAATAAACTGTATTTTACACAATCCTTGAGATATCAGCTGGTCTCCGTAGAAAGTTTTCAAGCAATGAAATGTTTTTTACATTATCGACACATTTTCTAAGAATGTGAACGAAACTACAACAACAAAAATACAAATTTAACGGTAAAAAGATCGATTTACTCATACTGGATCGATCTACTCGATCGATCGAAGACCTAGTGTGACTAGTGACACTTCACCAAGGAAAGGGTCAACATCAACCGAAGGATCACAGAAAAATTCGATCAGAGAACGGGTCACGTCCTCCCGAAAATTGATTCCCAAGCGAAAATAACCCCGTTTCCCCCTTTCGATCACTCTCCCGCTAATCCTCGATCCCCGTCGTGCGTATATACGGTCCATTCTTACCTCCCCCCTTTTCCTCTCGTCTATCGGACGCACGTAGCGAGGACCAGCGAGCAGACTGGGAACGTCAGAGTGCCCTACGACTGCGCCGCGCGCGCATCCCTGCCTACTCGATCGTGGACCTCGTAGATCGTCGCTCGGCTCTCGTCTCGAGAGCGTCGACGAGTGTGCATCGATCGTGCGATCCGCGAGGATTTCTCTCGGCCAGTGAAAAAGTGTGTTAACGATTCGCACCCAACAGTGATCCCAAAAGTGTTCTCCATCGTTGCCACCCTCGTGGATCCAGAAGAGGATCCAACCTTGGCGATCATTTTCAGTCATCTCTGATCGTTTCTGAGAAGCACATAGGTCGCATCGTCTACGAGTGCGTAAAATGCACAGATCTTGACGTCCTGCAACGTCCACCAGCGATCGATCTCTTCTTCATCGAGCCACAAGAATTCAAGACTGGGATGTTAACTCGGGTTTAAAACCTCGAGATCTCCCCGATCGTGGGCCACGATCCAGCGCCGACCAGAAAATACCAGGGGGCGATCCAGAGTGCCGAACAGAGACGGATAGAGAGAGTGGGTGATGCGCTGAAGCATCGATCACGGACGAGCGCGTTGGGGAATGAGCGAGTTCAATTAAAGCGTTCCAGAAGCGCGACAGAGACCAAAGGAACTGGGGGAGACCGCCGCGTGACTCGCTTGGAAAATATCAGTCGAGGAGGACGTTGGCTCGCGATGTTGCTTCTTATCAGCGTCGTTCACCAGCCGCGCTAAGCTCGTGGAACTTATGTCTCCCCTCGAGATCGTTTCCATCGGTGGTCTTCTTCTGTATATCCCTGGAACCTGGATCTCCAGCGTTCCGGAATCCTAAACGCAACATTCTACACGTAAGATCGCTTAGCCTCAACCCAGAAGCATTCTCAAGCAACCTGGTGTCCATCTTAGGAATCTATCCTACCGTTCCAGAGTCCTAAATACTCAGGATCGCTCGGTCTCAGCTTTCCCGAGTAGGTGGACTTCTCCGTTAGGGTGAAAAATTGGGTCAAAGTCTCGCGCAAGGTCGAAGATTCCCGCCCCGTGTATGCGATCGGGATCAACGTCGATGCCAGCCGTGGGGAACTGATCGATCGTCTCGTGGACTTTGGAACCGTTCCAGAAGACATCCATCGCGAACGATGAAGTGGTGCTTAGTGGTGCTGATTCTGGCCGGTGTCTCGCGGGCCGACAACACCGTCAACACCTCGGAATACTCGATTTTCACGTGTCCCAAGCTGAACTCCCAGGACGAGATCGATCTCGACAAGGTAGGTGCCGTTTCCTTCTGCCAACCTAGATCGTCGCGATGGGATTACGTAACCGCGGGCTTGGAGCCTGCGATGGGACTGATCGAATAGGTTCGGGACTAATTCGACAGGGTGTATCAAGCGACGGGGAACCGATCCGATACTTCAGATTTGTTTACAGGGGGGAAGTATTGGCACGAGCAAGTGCTCGCCGTGGGATTAAACGGGAGATGGGAATCTTTGTTTTGCTTTGATCGTTTGGTGTTAGGTTCTTCTCCGTTTCAGGGGGATCGTAGGAGCTTTAATTTTGCCTCGAGAATGTTCTTTGGGAAATTGTCTCGTAGATGCTAATATAATCTTTCAATTATTCCTTAATCTTTATTTCGTGTATTAGGGGGATCGAAGGTAAATCTTGTGTAACATTTTATAGACAATAAAATTGAACCAACATCACTTCTTAAAAATACGATTCGTCGAATATTATTATTGATTCTTATTAGATGTTTATGCAAATCCATATTTTTATAGACACTGGTGAAAAGCACGAATCTTGAGTTCAAATACGTTGTCTTCCAAATGTTGTAATGTGTATTCATTATTTTGCGGTATTTGAATTATTATTTATTTTTTATTGCGATCGTTGAGAATCGTAGCTAAATCTTGTGCAAAGAGTTATTTTAATGGGTAGCACTATATGGTATCAAGCAAATCTGCTATCAATTTTGAAAAAATTGCAGGCCATTGCAAATGCCCTCGTAAATGCATATCTGTCGTGTTCCTATTGGCAGACGTAGATTAATTCGCGAGACCTAATACCTGCTTTCAGAGTCGAGACAGTGAAAAATTAGATTTCTGAGTGACTAGGTGGAACGTGAAAGTTAATAAGACTTAATAAGGATGAATATCTGATCTGTCCACTAATGATCTCGAAAAGAGCTCAAGTCAATTACTATTCCGCGTTCGAGCAGTGACGTCAGGTTGAGCATATTTCTACAAGGTACAGTCGAAATATGGTATAATCTCATCTATTTTGTACGATGCAAATGTGAGGATTACTTCTCTATCTTACATTACTCGGAACATTTAAGAAATTAAACGCTAGAAACTTATTCCAAATGAGGTCAAAGTAATGTTTCATATGATAGCGGTTTAACAGAGTGGATATTGATAAAACGCAATGAAAAGAGTTTTCTAAGGGGCTATATGTCCTCGAAGTGGCATTTATAATACTATAGTTACTTTTGTGTGTAATACAAATTCCAAGATGAATGATTTCTTTGTTTATTGATTTAAAGTGAGTTACATAATATTGATTGGAGTCGAGTGAATGATATATTTCGTGGTCCTCTCAAACATTTTATTTCGTTAATTAAAGATTTCTGTACTATCTTGTATATATATTTCCATTTTAGGTCCAAGTTACATTTGTATTTTCTCTTCGAGTCAACAATTTTTGATCTTTCTCAGAATAAATTCCGATTTATACTATGATTCTGTCTTGACGTACATATTTCATTACATCAATGAAAGAGTCGAAATACCCCACGAATAGATGCAAAATTGCCTCAGTAGACCATGAAATGTATACATTATTCGAAATTATGAACTTCTCGCCCTCGTAACACCGCTACGCTCGAGTAATCCAATAATCGAGCACTTCCACGCGAAAATCGAAAACCTATCGAAAGGTAAGGTGTGTGGTATCGACAGTTGGCATCCACGCATGGCAAAACCGCAGCTAAATGATACAACTATCGTAATAGCAGCTGTGAAATTATTATCCCCGAACTGAATCGAATATTTTAACCACTTCGTGATTCCCACTCGCAGAAAACAACGCGCTGGAGACTGTTTATTGAACATTCGAGAATCGACGACTGTCGCCGACAATTGACGGCAGATCACGCGTGCACATTAGGTTAATAGAAGCCATAACACGTTACGATTTATTGTCTGACTCATGCGTCGAGTTACGACGACTTGTACGACCATTTTGGTCCGAGACACGATGACCTGCTGCAAGACACAAATGTTATCAACAATGATGTAAATTCGCATAAACATCTGCAGATGTTTTAATTAATTATTACACACTGTAGCAAACAAGGAATTACCTTGCGTAATGCCTTGACATTTATCTAGCATTTATCGTTTATTGTCAAACGCGTCCAGCCTAATAATTTCTCCACGATACAGCGCCTTTATAAAGAATCGATAAAGATTGAGTGGTATTGTTCTCATCGCAACGACCGGGCCATTATTTTCTGTTCTGCGCGATGAAAACAATCGCGAGCGACTCGTAGCTCGATACGAAAGTCTCCTAGGAATAAAAAGGGGCTTTTGCCGTAGCGAACAATTGAATATCACTTGTGCAAAACACGCGTCACTTTTTTTTTCTTTCTTTTCATATCCTTCCGCAAGACGCGGAGGTCGGTGAATCGAAGGCAGAATTCGTTGTATGATGGGTCTGAGATGCTCCCGGCGCCACCCGTGTTCTCAGAATTTCTTAATTGCGTCATTAAATTCGTGTCACGTACAGAGGGACGGTCAAGGCTTTTCCGCGATTACCGCGAGGGATAATTATTCGGAGTGCTTCCCAAGAAAACGGTTGTTTGTATTTTTAACGAGAGCCGTGGCGAAGTTTGCGGCCAGAGGATTGATTTTATTCAAAAGTGCATGCGAACCGGAAGAACTGTTTTTCTCGTGGCGGAGTAGAGATTGGGGAAATTTTTATTGGAGTCCTGGACGACGAATAAGAGCAACGTTTAGATATTTATTCGCGATATTCATTCGATCGGGCAAAGTACATTATTCGTTCGTTGGAGAATATTTCATTCTGTTCAGATTCGAATTTTTATTCGACGAGAATCGGGTTAGGAAGCGTTTATTTTTTAATTAACACGTTGATCGCCACCGTCACCCATATATATATATATATATAGGTGACAGTGCTTTTCACTGAAAAACGAAAACTATTAATTCTGAAAGCTAAGTGTCATAGAAAATGAATTTAAACGAAATACTTGAATTTTGATGAAGTTACAAAACTAAATACCAAAATAAATGTTTCATTACGCAGTTTCCAAAAGTCTGTAAACAAAATTAAATCGCAGTAGAAATTTTCGAGAGTATTAGTCCGGCAGTGAACGTGTTAATTGATATTTTTAATTGGATGGGTTATTATTTATCTCTGTAGTAGATTTCCCTGACCTTAAGAAATCGAAAATTTTGCTATATCGCGATAAGATCATGTTTTCGGCGCGATAGAGCAGCGTTCCGAAACGAATAGTCTTTTTGCGGCTGTCATAATCTATCTCACTAATGAGTTTCATTTATACGGACGACTAGGGATCCCACTATCTCGGGAAATTTGAAATTTAACTATGGAACGTCGGACCGTGTTCACTAATTACGAAACGCATAATTTCCATCGCGTTTTCTAATCTACTTGGTTTCAGCGAATTTTATTAGTTAGCAGTTTCCAAGTACAAAAAATTCGCGGGGGATATTTTTCCACGGACCGCCATACGTTTGGGAAAAATACGGCCGCGCCGTTGGCTGAGTTTTCCAAAAAGTAAATCTGAACCGTATTTATCACTGATAGCGAAACACAAACGCGTACTGCAAGGATAATTATTTTAGCTGAATAAAATGGTCTTATACTGTAATAAATTATAGAAGAAAATTGAAAGGAATAATATACCAACACAGAAGAAATTCCTAAATAATCTTCCAAAACAAATACCTTTAATTATTTTTATCACTCTCTTCCCAAAAAGCAAGACTCACAAAAGGGGTGGTTCAAATGAAAATGCGAAGACTCTACACGAGTGGGAGATGATTTGTATCCCTCCCAGGAACGGATTTATCATAGCCGGCGATCGACGGAGCATCGCCTGCGCGGATTAACGCGATTCCGATAACTGCGGTGGTTCGTTGCATGCTGGAAAAGCGCGACACCGGTGCTCCGCGTGTTCTTTCCCTTTCAATTGTTTCTTTATGTTGTTTCACTCCACGGAGAAATATCCTGATAAAAGGGGATCCGGTGGGGTGGATCTTATCAGGCGCGAATTCAAAAACAGGGCCAGACAGCTTTTCCATGCATCCACCCTGATAAATGTAATACCGATAACACGCTGAAACGTGGCCGTAGAATTTTTTTTTCGGAATAAAACCTGACGACCGTTTTAGATTTTATTTCCCTTCTCCCCGGTGACGATTAATAAAAAAATCATTTCACGGTTGGATGAGAGAGAGATATTCGTTTTGTTTTTTAATCTGTTCTAGTTTCCAGCCGGTTTCAAGCGTGATAGATAAAAATCTGACGCGTCGCTCGTGTATCGCGGGAATATCGGTAGGATAAACTATTTTCAATGACGGGAAGTTACACTTTTTTTAAATCGGCGATGAATTTGATACTCTATTTTCTTTTATTTTTTGTTTGTTTTGAAGTTCAATAAGTTTCAACAAGTTTAAATAACACCATAATGTAAATTATAAAACAGGAGGGCCACACGTTAGGACCTACTCGGATCTCTGAAATCAATTATTCCGACGATCAGAATAACTAGAATTTTACTTGAATTCAAAAAGAAATTTAAATGGGCCATACGAGCACAGAAAGCATTGTTCCCACCGCATAATAGAGAACGTAGATTAAAACACGAATTATAAGATACAGAATACACGCTGTGCGGGTGGAAAACATTGTTTGCGCCGCTTACTTTGGACTTCATCGCGGCCATAACCGCGTTGCGCCAACGCGAAGCCAAATTTACCTTTGAAACTGTACGCAACGGTGTAATCGACGTTACTTGGAAGTTAGGGGAACGTTACTCGTGATCACAGGAGTCGACTGTAACGGTCGCCTGCGGTCGTAACAGTCGAAATAAATTGAAAAGAATTAAGCACGCCCCCCTACCGAAACAACGTCCGATCGAGCAGTCAGACGAGAGAGGAAGAAATCTCCCTTTCGGAAGTTTCTTGCGAATGAAACTGTGGCCATGGGAATCTTATTTCCA